AGTCAGGAGGGACGAGGAACCATCATCAAGCTGTGGTCACCTGTTAAACCATGACCTCCATGGAGGTAGTCTCATTTCCTCTCCAGCGCACCTGTAGTCACGTCCATTTGCACTAAAGGAGCTGAAACAGGCTCGCAGTGGTTTCTGCTCCGAACTGGACAGGCTGGCATCCCTTTGTTATGCTTTGATCAGATAAAGTCAGTTAAAGTTTCAGTAGTAAAAATAATTTTAAATTCAGAATCTTTAATATGAAAGTTTATTCAACATATAAAACATCTGAAAACATTTCATGTCAATAAAAGTCAAATGCTGTTCAACATAATAAAATGAGTGGAAACTAAATTTGTCTTTGAATGAATAATGCCCATGTGGGTATACATGCAAACATTTCAGCAACAAATCTTCATGATAAAATCCAAAAATGAAGTGTAGTCAATCGCCCCCTCCCCCCTGCTGGATTTTTAATTTAAAAAAAAAGAAAAAAAAAAGCTGGTGCATATTTTCCAAATAAATTCTGAGAAGCAGAAAAACATTTTGTAATTATTGCATTTTCTCTCCCCCTCAACACCAGCTCTGCTTTTTGGTGTAAACTACACTTTCCCCAATTACACAGAAAACTGTCAGAAATCATCGACCTATAAAATAAAGGGTTACGACAGAGTTGATGTAGAGCTTTGACCGCATCTCCTCTGCAGTTAGCTTTTTACTCTCGTAAAACCAAAACAAGACAGATTCCCCTTCACCATCATTGTGCAAATACAGCAGTGAAATAGCTTTTACTGTTACACGAATTAAAGCTGGTTCTGTTTAAGGCACAAATACAAGTACAAAAAAAAAAAACTGCAGTCAGGAGAGTGAGAATTTACATGCTACATGATTGCAACCAGGTGCATTGTATGGTTAAATGTTCTCAGTAATCCACACATGCTCTCTTCCTACGCTGAGCTGAGAAATCCATGAATTCCTCCTCTGAGCTTTGAGTCAGAGCGCCCTCTGCTGGCCACACTTCTACTGTGCAGGTGAGAATCACACACCACCTCCTCTCGCTGGTGCTGCTCGTCACAGTGAAAGTCTGACTGCTCATCGCAGCCGCAGCATGGATCCGAATCAAAGTGCACGTCATCAACATGGTCCCCAAAGCTCTAAAAAGTCTGTCTAACGCGGCTAATTAAACCGTCTCCGGTGGGGCCGCTGCTCGTTAATTAAAATAAAAAAAAAAAAAACGCTACAGTCTGGAGCCGCACGATGTGGAGAATGTGTTTAAAACCAAAGGGAGGAGGAGCAGAGAGTATGCTTTTCGCCCGTCTTCCCTCGAGTCCTCGTCCCACAGCCTGATAAATTCATCACACTGCAGTGAGAGATTTTCTTTGACAACCTGAGTGGGGAGTTTGGGTGGTGGTGATGCAGCTGGGCAGAGGTGAGGTGAAGGAGCTGTGGGTTTATAGTGCTACGCAGACGCAGGGGTGTTTGAGGCACACTGGCAGGATGCCCTTGTTGATTTGATGAAACTCAACCAACTGCAGGAGGTCAATAAAGAGCGTGTCGCCGTCGTCCATGGTGTAGTACTTCCTGCCGCCGTTCTCAAACTGCAAACACGAACATGATCAAAATTAGGGCGCGTCATACGCACAGAAGGCTTCTCCTTTTAAGCAGAGACTGAATGAAGGGAACTCACTGGGATCACCAGGTAGTGTTTGGTCTTCAGCTGATAGCACAGCGACAGGACGAAGCACTGAGCGTGCTGTTGGCTGTCACGAATCAGGAACATCCTGCAAAAAGCAGCTCGAGTTAAAACTGCGAGAGAAATGCACGACAGACAATCCTTCAGCCAGTGGGATCACTGGTAGAGCTACACAGAAGACATGCTTTATGTCAACTTGGCCAGTAAACCCAAATATATGATCTTCAGTACATCACTGAAACCTTCTTCCTCTATTAAACCTGACAGGGTGGATGCTGTATGGAGTATTTTAGTACACTGCACAAAAGCACCATGAGAGGCGACCTCTACAGGTTAAAGATTGCAACTGCAAGAAGTAAACTTTGTTCATGTTT